TTTTTTGTTGTAGGTTTAAGACTATCATAGAAGCCCTCGACGGCTGAAATAGTTTGGAACTGGAGATACTGCTTTAACTGCTGTACAAATGGTTGCAAAGATGAAATCATGAGATGTGGTTTCTGAACTAGTTCCTGCTTGGAAATTTCAAGAATGACTTGGCTGAGGTTTTCAGTGGTAACCACCCTTCTACACTTGAATCTTTCAAGAAAATCAGTAAATTCATCTTAATCATCTGGAAGCTGATTCTTTCTTATAATATCTACAATAAACTCTTCCTCTACTGGGGATAGGTATTTTGTGAATGAATCAACAAACATGGAATCTGGAACTTGGTTGCCAAAGAGGCAGTAGCATAAAAAGGCCTTTGACAAAAAGGTGGGGAAATAGGAGACAGACAAAAACCCTTTAACTAAAATTCTCCCCACAGCCTCCCACTCCTGAACAAAGTGGTCATGTCTAACAAGGGAACCCTTTCTCTCTCACCTATAATCATGGAAATAGAAAATTCACTCCAGAATAAAGTATACACTTCACAAATTACCCCAACACGTACACCCTGTTCAAACTGACCCTTTCCATTAATCAACTTAAAATCAATATTACAGTTCATTACACTTGGGTCTTTAAAATGTTCAATCAGTTCAGTTCTTTTGCAAGATCGGTGAACTGAGAGAACTCTCTCTGGAAGATTTCCTGATGAAGTGGGACATGGACCATTTTGCTCCATAGGGCCTTGATCAAGTTTGCAATTCTCTTCATTTGTTAGCCTTGGGTAACTGGTTTCATCAGCCACGTTGCTATGCAATCCTTCTGCCTCTATCTCAGCCACACTATTCAAAAGTACTGCTACTCGTCTAGAACTTATTTCATCCATAGTTAGTGGGACTGGTGTTTCTGTAGTATATGGACTCCCCCCATCAGCGATCCTAGAAAGCTCATATTCTCTGTTCTGCTCACATCGAACGCATTCTTCACCTTCCAAATACGTAAAGCTACATACTGAACAAACAACACGCTTACCAGAATCTGATGCTACCTGAGAAGCATTCAGGTTGGCCGGCCGTTCAACAGTTTCCTGATCTCCTTTAAGTTGTGAAAAGAATGTGTCTTGGTGCTGTGATCTTAGATAGAGGTAAGTTTTCGACAGATAGAGCCCATATGCATTTTCCTTTAAATAGCTTTCAATGGTTCCTTCACCAGGAAATCGAATAATGACCATTTGGGTTGTGTCGCAGATATCTAGGAGC